CACCGACCTAACATGATGCGCTGAATCAAGGATTAAAACAGAACACTTCATGGTCAATGCTTCGTTCTTTTAAGAGATCAACCAAGACCGCGACGTCATGCGGCATCGCGCCGTTCATTTTCATGTGATGCTTACTTAATCCGGGGACAAGCAGAAGCCAAAGAGGGCTAGCCCGGATTTTCGCCGCCGAGGAGATTCCGACGATCTGATACCTGACAGTTTGATAGTGGTTCGTCAGCGCAGTCCATCGACACGCTTTCTGCACACCTGCACGATGCCAAGCTCATGCAGAGAACTAAGTGAGTAACTCTCAATTTTCTTGTACCCGTTGGGGCGTTTCCCCCGGAGCACGCTCTACATCTCTTCCGCGACTCTCACCTACCATGTAACGTATCTGGATACTAATGAGTCTGGCGACTTTTCTCAGGAGACGCACTGGCGCAATGTTTGCAAGAATCAGATTGCATCATGGTCCAGCGGCACACCCCGCGTGAATGCTTGAGCACCCCCCTCGTCGATGAACTGCCTATGAAATGCCAACAGTTGCGGAAAGGATTCAGCGAGTGCAAGTGAGTGGAACCGACATGCATGCTTTATTGCAGTGATAAAGCTGACAATGGGCACAATCTAGGCGAGGGTTGATCGACATGCGAAAGCGATTCCGTGGAAATCAGCCCATTTCAGTTTCCAGGGAGCTCGAAGGAGGCAAATCCCAATCCCACCAGCAACTATACGCCGGCAAGCCCGCCTTTGAAACTGTTAAGGAGATTAGCGGAAATGAAGTACAGATGGACCCTGAGAAGACTAGGGGACTTTAATATTTGAAGCTCGCGACTCACTAGGTTGGCGAAATGCCTAGATCCGCTGTCCTGAATTATAGCGCGGCATTTGCTCTCATCTCCTCGCATGGTTTGGAGTTCCCATTTGGCGGGATGTTTGTGTCTCCGGATTTTGTGTAACCCTACTGGCTTATGGCATATGACTGTACATACTTTTGAATTATGGGCTTCCCACGCAAGTACACGCTTCATTTCGAACTATCATTCGTTGAGATTTTACAGAGGATTATTGCGTCTTCTTTGTGTTCAGCGCAGCGGCAGAAGGCGCTGAGTAAAGCCATGCAACAACGAACACCAAGAAGCCAGCGATGACGGACCACAGGCCCGCAATCCAGACCCATCCACCGCTGATCCTCCAGCTTCGGGGGTACTCGTTATGAGCGAAATGACGAACAGTCACCTCAAGTTTTTCTTCGATGTTGGTGAGGAACGGGCGCTTGTAGTTCACTCGGAAGGAGAAGATTCCATGCTGATCGGGAGTGGTGAATCGTGTGCTGTAAACTGTACTGTTATCCGTTCGCCGGACGGGTTCCAAGTTCAGGCGATGGAAGGGAGACAGCATGGTAAACTCAAGCTGGACAGCATCGCCAGTTGGAACCTCGAAGGGCACGTAACGATCATAGTCGTACTCGGAAAGTTCAATGCTAAAGACCTGTTGAGAAGCGTGAGCATGGAAAGAGGCAATGGAACCTCGAATGGCTGTCTCTTACAGTTTCATTCTTTACCCGATAGATCTTAGGGTTCAGCTTCTCTGGAGTGATTTCACCATCTTCAGCCAGATGATGCTCGATCTTTCCGACCTTGAGCACTCCGGTTTCCTTGAATGTCCATGCGGTAAGCTGCTTGGCGAACTCCTGGTTGACCGTCTTCGTCTGCTTCACATCGCCGGGGGCCTTGACAGTCGCAGAAAACCACTGATCCTGCAGACTCTCCACGGAGCCCAGGAGAGTGAAGCGAGCGGAGTTTCTAGCCTGCATGGCCGAGACCAGAGCCAACTGCGAACCTGTAGCTGCAACATCCTCGACTGATGACGCGTCCTCCTTAGGGTTGTAACTGTATGCAGTGGCGGGGGCTCGCAGAATGGGCGCAATGAGAGGGTTTGCGTCGCCCAGGGTATGAGGAACAGCTCTAGGAAATGCAACGACGCCCTCACCATCAAAGAAAGCCTTGGCGTCAGGCCTCAGCTTGCCTGGTCGCTGGAGTAGCAAGACATCATGCTTATCAGAAGCAGAAAGTGTGTCGTAGTTGAAGTGATCGACGGTGACAGAAGAACGATCGACAGGGAGATGGAGATCGAGCTCCAGTAGCAACGAGCTGATAGCGCTGGCGGTTGTGGACTTGCCCGACAAGGCGAGGAGGACGTTGCCGTCCTTGTTCATGAATTCAATAATGCTCTTCGGGGTAAGGGAGAGTCCATAGCCTGGTCAAGAGGTCAATTGAGATGTACAAAGCAGAGCATATGGACATGTCTAAGCGCAACGCTAACCCTTTGACTTGGGAGGCAGGAGAAACAGATGGTCGTAGACTCGGTCTCCGAGCTCGAACAGGCTGAGCTTGTCATTCTTGGGGGATTCGAAGTCGAGGTTATATCCTCGAGCTACCAATTAATGATTAGCATGTTGACGCAGAAGTTCAGTAGATTAGAGCACCTTCTAGGTCAGCCCATAATTTCGAGTATAATTCCTTTTCTGCGGCATCTTCCAAAACAACCAGCAGACGATTGCCCGAGCTACTTAATGCATGTACAACTGCCAAGAAGCAGAATGCCAGAAGAGTGAGGCACCACCGCATGGTGTATCGAATTCCGCACAGCGGAGCGGGCAATTGGCTGAAAGGAAAGTCACTGCAGTCCAGAGAAGGAGAAGGAAAAGAAGAGGGAAATGAATTGGTAGAGGAGAGTGTCCTCTGAAGGAGCTTCGTCAGTTCCGTTTAGTTGGAGAGAACGGGCAACGTGTTTGGACCGAGAGTGCCAAGACCTCTTCGCCGCTTTGAACTGCGCAATCGTCGGCCGTCGTCACTCACAACCTCCATTCGACGATATACCCCCTCTCCGTTGCGATACCCGCCCCTCTGGCGCGATTCAACCCAGTTTCAAAGTATCGGACTTCCCGGAAGATAGAATACCTAATTTGAGCCGAGCTCTGCTCAATTGACCCTTTGATCCAATCCGTCCGTCCCTCTCACGAGCTTCAACCGAATCCCGCAAAAATCCTTCTGAATCATCGACCTTTCGTCTCGCAACCATGACTACTCCCCAATTCTGGTCGACTCCTCTCCGGTACCTCCGCTGGGCCTCGCATGAGAAGCCAGCCATCTTCTACTCCTTGGTCGTTGGAGCGACAGGTCCTCTCATGCTGGTCACCCTTCCCCCCATCAGACGGTTCTTCGGTGATGTTGACCCGGAACCTATTCCATTGACCTATCCCCGTAAGGCTTCGATATTTTCTTCTTTCCTATGCTCTCCTGCTATCGGATTTCTATCTTTGTGGCGCTCGCACGCTAACATTGCAATCCCTAATCCCAGTTCCCCAGGGACCCCGGAACATCCCACAAGGCTACGATGACGAATAGATATCTCACGGGGAGGACGAGCGAAATTGATTTGACTTGCTAGGATGCTCTTCATTGGGGGAACTCGAATCACAATAGTATCGGGCGTCGGTACACTTTGTCGGGCACTGACGACAGACAATCCATTACCTAGGCTGCGTCAATCGGAAGTGCTTGCGGGTTAACATCTTTTATACTGAGCTACCGACGCAGAGCCCTTCAGGGCATTCACCTTCCACCAGATGTCTTCATACTCGTGAATCCCCTTGTTGAGCTTGACAGTGCGAGTGCAGCGGTGTATTGTACATGAAAATGATTTTAGAGCGCAGACACTACCATTCTCGTTTGAACTGACCTTTTTACTTCTCTCCATATTCGCATCTTCTTGGAATTCCGGCTTCATATTACCGGCTTAAACTTTGTTCCTCTTGGATCGCACCTCTTACGAAAATGCCGTTCTAGGCTGGTGCGGAACGAGCAGCTGTATGCTTCGCGAAGCTCCCGATATGTCTGGCTCAAGGAGTGGAAGCGACGGGTTGTTGAAATAAAGTAAGACCAACTAAGATACATGGGCTCTAATATTTGCCTTTTCAACAATAGTGTTATAAGTCAGGCGTCGTCGAACGTGCGGCTAAAACGTGGTTGGACCTTCAACGCATGGAGGAATTAATACATTAATGAAAACGTAGCACCGAAAACCTCGTACCCTTCCATGTTTTACACCCGATTTGACCAGCCTTTGGAGAGGGAATAAAGAAAGGGCCGACGACAATGCTTGGAGTCGAACTTCAATAAACTGAGGCAGGAATAGCCAATCAATTGCTTGGTGCCAACAATAAATATCCATTGAATAAACACAGAATGGAATAACGCCATATATGCTCATATCTACATATAGATCGTGGACAACATCACCAAAACATCCAAGCTCCTAACTGATGCTTTTTGGATCAGCCAGATGCTCCTATCAGAATCAGGACTGTGATAAAAGGCCGTTACACTCCTCGATCAAAGCGAAAAGAAACCGGAAAGAGCATGAGAAACAGACAACCAGGACACCACCGAGCAAGCAAATTGGGGATGTTCCTCAGGACAGAAGTAAAGTATATCGAACAAAGTGCTCGAAAACCGCCGATACAATGCAAAGCCAAAAAGCCGCCTCTAGGAACTCGTTGCACAGATCTCTCTTCCAGCCATCCACACCATTGGTATATGGCAGGCCCGGTATCAAGAGTTAGATGCCATTAGCCAGGCAAGGAAAGTATCAGCGAGTAGCGTCGCCTGAGGTGCCAAGTGAAATGTAACGGAAATTCCAAGGCTTATCCATGGCGATATGTCCCGGACTCTCAGATAATGGCTCCACAAACTTGCAAGTCGGATATGAAGGCTTTTCTCAAAAGATCTCCTTCGGCTTGGAATTTCCCAAAGGCAAAATAAACAAGACAGAGACCCCGTAGAACAGCCAGGATCAATATGCGCAGTACTCCAGGATGATTCTGTAGATTCATTATTTTCCAGGGTTGATTTACCCAGGATAGCCAAGGGTTTGTGACGAGTCCTTGGAGGTATCATGATATAAGCAGCGAAGAAAAGGCATCAACTTTTGTCTCTCTACCGGGTTCGACGCGGGGCCTGGCTCTCTCTTGTTGCCTGTGGCCTGTTGCGGTCAAACTCCGGGGTATATCTGGGATCCATTCCTATCCGGGGATCGGGAGCTGTTGTGGCAGGATAAGTCATTCCAGAGGTGACCGGGGAATAGTCCGACTCAGTTTCATAGCCAGGTCCTGTGTAGCGTGGAGCATTACTTCTCCCGTTCTCATAGGGATAGCCAGTGTTGCTCGTGTAGGTGTATGATGGGTGCATGTCGGCAGACACTGCGGGCTGGCCTGGAGCAGAGTAAGGGACTTGCGGAGGGTAGGGATTCTGTCCTGCCGCAAAAGGCGAATGGCTTGAAGGATATGATGATGGAGCTGTGTATGGGGGGCTCTGGGTTGCACCGTACGGGGCCTGAGTGTATGGATCCACATAGGGTTGACTAGGTGGTTGAGAGTACGCAGGTGGCGGTGATGGGCCTCCTTGCTGGCGCACTTCATGAATAGAAGAAGATGCGTAAGGCGCTGGGACCACGTTAGGGGCTTGACGAACGTTGTAGTCGTGAATGTAACTACCTCTCGGATAGCCTTGGTCAGCCCGACGCATGACGTCTGCTTCCCAGCGCGCTGAGTCCGCTTTGAGATCAGCAATCATTTCCTGAGCGTAACAGTCAGCCTGAAGTCTTCTCTTTCTTTCTTTCTTTCTTTCTCTATTGCTTTCGATCGATTTCGCACTGAGAGAAGGTTATTTTGGACATACAGAAGTCAGATTCCGATAAGCACGGATGAAGTAGCCCTGACGACCCTGTTCGCAATGAGTCAGTAGGAGAGCAAACGGTAGGATTTGACAGATTTGAACTGCTTGGTTGATCTTAAGATAGGAGAGACTGGGAAACAGACATTATGGTTTCCGGGTCTTACGAGTGCATCATTTCCAAGGTAACGGCAAATGTCTGCTTGGATGACTTCCCGGCTAATTCCATCACCAGGGATAAAGTACTCGTTCTGACGCTCCGGGCGTCCTTCATATCCATGGCGTCCAGTCATTTTGTTCCAGGGAGAAGGTATCCGGTATTAAGTGATTAAATGCAATGGATCCAAGTGGCCACAACGAAGTCCAGGGCGGTATAAAACAAGTAGCCGAGGTATCCAGGAAGTGGGAAGTTGACAAGATGCTCTCTTGGGTTGATTGCAAAAGAAACAGCACAAGTACGGTTCTATTAGGCCGTGTCCAGGGAACTCCAAGGCTGATGGTTCAAGGCTTATCCGATATTTCCTTTCCGTCTCGCAAAAAGCACACACTTAAAATGCAAGCTTCAAGACGTGAACTGCTGGCTGGGTGATTATTACCAGGAGAAAGAAGAAATCCAGGTAATGCGTATCTGTCCACGGACGGCTGTCAAGGGCTGTCTTCCAAGATCCTGAGGTGATTTCTTTTCTTTTCTTTTTGTCTCTCTAGTGATATAGGTTCAAGGACCGCGACCAAGTCATGCAAGGGAAAAGTCGAAAATTCAGGCCGGAATGGATGACCGAGGATCTAGGAGAGGGGATCAGGGGTGAAGCTTTGGGTGGGGTGTCTCTCTCCGGTTTGGCGGTGGTGAGTCTGATACCTCCAACACTCCAGAAGTTGTAAGGGAATTCTTCGGGCTGGCGGGGGAGACAATTGCCAGGTTGCGCACTAGAAGGAACAGAAGGGAAGGAAGAAGAAGAGGAAGAAAATTATCTACGCGGGAGAGAAGAGAAATGGACGGGGAGATAAGAGAGGCTAAAGACGCCAGCTCAGCGCACAGAGGGAGAGAGGGGGTGTGGGCATTTGGCACATTGGCAAGGGAAAAACAAGGGCTGGTGGGTTGTGTTTGTTGCTCATTCGATTCGACCAAGGGCGCGGTTGGCCATTTGGGCTGTTGGGCCGGCGTATTGGGCTGCCTGGCCTTGTCTGGTGCCACGACGACTCCACATTATCATTGGTGAGAAGTCCGAAAATAAATAATGATCGAGGCGAAAAGAAAGGTAAAAAAGAAAAGAAAATACGAAAAAGAAAAATAATGATGATTAAGAATTGACCTACTACGGAGTAAGCAGATACTTCCTGTACGAGACTACCTTGCCTTACCTCTGTTCCTAGGTACCTACCGAGAGTGGACTCACATCCGATGACTGCGTTAAAGTCTCCCCAAAACATGCATGGTGACAAATACGGCTTGCAGAGGATTTTCGATGGTCTAGGTAGTCGCGCTTCCTGAAAAATAATTGTCTGGACACCGTCCCTCTGGCCAGTAGTGTCTAGGTAAGGCAGGAGGCAAAATATGAGACTCTTCGGGAAGTCTTATTGACGGTGATACGGTCTATTGGCCATCCTTCAATAGATCAGAATATGAAAAACCTAACTCATGGAAGTGATGCAGATCGAAGCTGTCAAGTTGCACTGAATATACCTGCTGTCATACTATCTAGCCTTCCAGCCAGTGAATAGACGCAGAGGTGGGAAAGTTGACACTCAGAAGGCGACACTGAGTTGAGGTAGATAGAAACATTCAGAGAACGCATCAACGGTGAGTAGAGACTTCGTAGCCCCGTTATGGTACTTAATTGCTTTCTCCGTCCATTTAGTGAGGATAAGGTAGATCTGCCCATATGACTCTTTCCAAAGTTCACTTATATATCTGAATCTATTGTTAATCGCCGTAGTGACTCATTTCGTAGCTCACACTTCGAAGAGTTCCTGAAGACACCTCATAGACATGCTGATATGCATGTCCACTTGTTCCAGTTTGGAGTTTGCAGATTCTGGCTGGGGAGACCTAACAGTATTACCAGTACCAGTCAGCTACAGAGGAAAGATTGAGCACTCCGCGTACGAAATCAGTGAGGGACAATAGCTTGAAGAAATGGCAGAGCAGGTCGAAGGAGGGGGCGTTGGGGATTGGCCCTCAGTAGTCCGTAGCGAGCAGATAATCGGCAGAGTGCAGACAGTTGGGCAGAAATGCGTGGCGGGCTAGAGGGGCCTTTGGGCATCCCAAACCGCTCATTCGTCCATCCAGCATATAGACCCAAGGCTTCAAGTGCGCCAATCTAAGGTAACAAAATTGTACCCGCACCGGGCCGCTAATCTACCTCTGGTTGTGCTGGGCGCTTTTCAGTCCTTCTTCCATGGATGAATTTCATCATGTGAGAATGTGGTACTTTTGAGATACTGGAGCCCCAGTGACAGCCGCCTCACTATGGCCGGTGCATGCGATGTACTCTTGAAAAGTGCAAGTCCCTGCCTTGTTATCGCCTCTGATGGTGATCATGATCTCCTGTGGCCAATAGCCTTACCATATCTGTTTCCTCAGCAAAGGTACTTGCTGCATCTACATCATTGTACTTCAGCACCCTCACTTGACTTCACTTGGTCGGCTGCATGACCAGCTTCTCTTCATGATGATACAATGCATTCTTCTCAGCTTTCCAGAATACGCAACATCCTAGCCTCGTCCAGCTTTTTTGCTTTGATCTTTATTTGTAATGTGTCATCTAAAGCGTAATTACGTGATTCACGCTTTGCTAAGACTCAAGACAGCAGACTCAGAGCTTCTGGTACAGGTCGTTTTCACCACCAAGTACAGGGTTCATGACGAATTCCCTTTCCTTAGTCCTTACACTACTACATTGATGGTCGCGTGCTGAATGGCGCGCTCATAATTGCCTTGAACGCCCTACCTAGGCTCTTCTATTCTTCAAAGGCCATCACCAGACCATGGCATCTTGGTGATCCATGCCTTGCGAGCGGTAGAACTGCTGAGACACATATCTGCTGCTCAAATAATATCACAACAGGTGTCCTCTCTTGCTGCATGATCTCCATTGGTTGCTGCATCTATCCTTCGGCCTTGCAGTTGCATGGAACAGGAGTTGCCGAATTCGGACCTGCTATCCCTTGCCGTGTTTCTTGAAATACTGGTCAGCCGAAGCTCTCTGGCCAACGATGTAGTCAATCTATCTACAGAGTGCTCAGACGTAATTGGCTCATAGTGCCCTCGCTTGCGACGACGCCTTGATTAATTGAGGACAATGTTGTTTCGACTGTCTTGCTTTGAAGGGCTCTTTTGCTACGGAGGTGTGGTGCACAAGTCATTGTAACTCACTACCTAGAGCCAATTAGCATTTATCAGGTCACGTGGTTTCAATCTTCTGATGCCCAGAGGTATTCAGCTGGAATAATTCACACCAGCCCACTTGAACCTATAGACCTATCCATGCGCTCAAAGTCTGCCTATCTGAGCGAGAATGTGTACACAGTTCAACATTGAGGCATGGCTCTCACACTCAATCTAAACAGTGGATTGTCGTTCAGGTCTGTATTCAATCACATGGGAGCTAACTGTTTCGGGTAATGGCGGGGATCTCCGCAAAGATATCCCGAACCCATGTCTTTGGAGTCGACCCGACGTACGCGATGAGAACCAAATTTTCCAGGCCAAAGCATGGTGCATCGACGACCTTACAATCACGAATTCAAGCCTAGCACTTGATGCATACAGACTTCGCCATGTCTATGATACAGTCCGCTTCGACATGTCTCGCTCGTCTCCGGATCCCTCTGCCGCTTTGTCGTCTTCGCCCAGCAGCTCCGTGAAATGCCAGTCTCAGTTCACTTACCGCCAACTACAGCTTCTACGTCAGGGCTCGACGGCGACTCCACTGAGGGTAATCGCTCATATTGACCTCGATGCCTTTTATGCACAATGTGAGATGGTACGGCTGGGCACGCCGAAGGAGACGCCTCTCGCTGTACGGCAATGGGATTCGCTCATCGCCATCAATTATCCCGCTCGGTCCTTCGGGATAAGCAGAATGATGTCAGCCAGCGAAGCGCAGAAGCATTGTCCCGAGATCGTTCTGCAGCACGTGGCCACGTTTCGCGAGGGAGAGGGCGGAAAGTGGGCTTACAGGGAAGACGCATTCAAGAATATCAGTACTGATAAAGTATGCTTGGATCCGTATCGTGCAGAATCTCGAAAGATTCTGAAAGTGATGAAGGAAGAGCTTTCGAGATGGCACGCGGAACTCGTGGACAGCGAACATGGAATTGGCTCGCACTATCAAGTCCAGCCTGCTAGCCTCGAAAAGGCCAGTATTGACGAAGTATTTATCGACTTGTCGCCACTCATATACGCTTTATTGCTTCAGCGGTACCCGGAACTGCGTATCGGACCGCAAGGTGACGAACGCAGTACCCCGTTGCCTCGCCCCCCGACGACGGCGTTGGAATGGTGTACCGAAGACTGCTTGATAGACCTCGATGAGAATGAGACGGAAGTTGATGATCCTGACTGGGATGATATTGCCATGCTCATAGGCTCGGAGATCGTTCGGTCAGTCCGAACAGCTGTCTGGAACAAGCTCAGCTATACCTGTTCCGGGGGCATCGCCAGGAACAAGATGATGGCCAAGTTGGGAAGCGCTTGTAACAAGCCAAACAAGCAGACAATCGTCAGAAACCGCGCGATTCAGCATTTTCTGGGTGGCTACAAGTTTACCAAGATCAGAATGCTTGGAGGTAAACTCGGAGACCAGGTGACCACTCTCTTCGGTACAGAGCAAGTGAGCGATCTGCTACAAGTGCCACTCGAGCAATTTCGTGCCAAGCTTGATGATGACACTGCCAGCTGGCTCTACGGAATCATTCGTGGTGAAGATAAGAGCGAGGTGAATCCAAGGACACAAATCAAGTCCATGTTATCCGCAAAGTCATTCAGGCCGAGCATCAATTCTGCAGACCAAGCCGAAAAGTGGCTGCGGATCTTCGCGGCCGATATTTACGGTCGCCTTGTTGAGGACGGCGTGCTTGAAAACAGACGCCGTCCGAAAACTGTCGCTTTGCATCATAGACAAGGCGGTCAAGTACGCTCTCGCCAACTTCCCATTCCGGGTTCGGCAACAATCGACGAGAGTCTTTTGTTCGAACTTGGTAGAACATTGCTCCGCCAGGTCATAGGCGATGGACGTGCATGGCCATGTGCGAACCTCTCCTTGAGCGTTGGTGGCTTTGAAGATGGAGTCAGCAAGAATCAGGCGATAGATAGCTTCTTACTTCGAGGCGAACCGGCGAAAAGTGCCGCTCAAGCCACGAGAAATCCGGACTCAGCGGAACGGACGGGGTCAAATCATCATGACGAAAAACGAAGGAAGGTCGACAGCAGCGGCATCAGGCGATTCTTCAATTCACCCTCTGAACTTGCCTCTGAAGCTATCTCCTTAGACTCAGATCCAGCACAGTTTGGTGAGAAAAATGAAGACGACGGTAGAGGTTCACTCCACGGCGAATCATCTTTGCCAGATGCTCAAACGATTGCGACCCCATCCGCTTCATATACGTGCTATCGGTGCCAGAAATCGCTCCCGATTGATGAACAGAACGAGCATGAAGATTGGCATTTCGCCAAAGATCTCGAACTTGAAGAAAGACGGACAGCTAGAAAGAGTCAGCCGATGTCGCGTCCGAATGATTCGGATACGCTTCAAGCTCGTAGAAGAGGTGGTCGCAGTGCTCGCGGAAAGCCAGAGAAAGGACAGACCCGGCTCAGTTTCGGATGATGGCTCGCTCAATTAGCTGTCGCTCGAACATCTGACAATCTCTTAGTCTGCTAGGTAGCGGCCGTACTGCGAACGGTGTGGGCATATCAATCAAGCAGTATTGCCTAAACCTATGAATGTTCTAAGTGTTACCCTGATATCAATTCCACACTTTTAAGGTTGGTTGATGGTGCATGGTCTTTTCCTCGATGAAGCATTCCATGTGATTACGTTGCTGTTATTGTGTACCTTTCCAGATTGATAGCCTCACGGCTTTCAGGAGATTATTCCAAAACGCATATAACCATCGTGTGTAGGGAGCATCATTCCGTCCAGAGCCTTTGTAGGAAAGTTAACTTTGTGAGCTAGCATAACGCTCGCTTAATTGGCTGTCTGTGGCTCAAACTTGCTCAGAAAGCTGCAGCTGGCACCCGGCCCTGCATTGAGGCGATAACATTAACTGCATCTCAATCTTAAGAATTTTTGTCTACCACAAGTCATCACATAAGATTTTTCCCAGTAGAACTATATCAACTAAGATGTTCGCCCCGAGAGGACCGACATGTAGCGAGAGAGCTAGTCCACAGTTGAATATATGCCTAAGAAATCACAGAGAGCATGTCGCTCTTTAATGAATGCCATCGCCAAGCGAGATACCGTAGTTTTCAACTCTCTTAGTCGAAATTAACTTGCAGCTGAGTTGACTCAAAAGTCAACGAACCACGGTTCAAGGAACCATGCAGACTGGAGTATGAACCTATTTTCAAAGTCGGCATTTTTAATTCCTGCTTCAGTCCTATGAATTATTGTCGTGGCTTCAATTTCTGCGCTGGATTGCTCGTATCTACGTCTCACCGACAATGACTACTGCATGGCATCCTGAGCGGTGACATCAGCGAAGACCTTGTTCGTTGGCAAGGCTCAATCCATGCTTTTTACATCGCAGCAAGCTACGCATCCATCAGTATTTTCTGGCCCTCGGCAGCTTCTGAAATTCCTCATTGAGCAACTTTGTTCGATATCTGCCAGCGGTCGTCCGGACCCGTCAATATTACCCCTCGTACAGTGCCCCTCACCAATGATTTTGATGCGTAGAAAAGCACGACTCAATAAAACCGCCCTATTTCCATCGCTCAAATTCTATCTCACTTCAGTGGGCAGTCTTGCATCTCTCAGATTTCGGATATGTCCCGACGAGCACGAAACCATGAGTACTACGAGGAGGACCTCTACGAGGAAGAAAGCGATACATATCGACGTCCGCGGAGGTCTCGACGCGAGCGCTTCGCCGAAGACGATGAATTGCAATACGGACGTCGAATGACCACCCCGCTTCCCGTGGAAGATCTGGAACGCCTACACATACGAGAACGGTCAAAGCCTGACTTTATTCGCGAGAGCTTTGATCCACCGCGGAACCCTGGTCCCCTGGCTGTGATGCGGGAGCGGGAGGAAAATGAGATGGACATGCTTCCTCGCGAGACATTGAGGGACTACGAGCGGGACAGGCACGAGCGTCGTGAGCGACCTCGGAATAGGAGGACCGCTAAGGAGGAGGATATTTACTTCCAGGAGGTATTGGAAAGACGGAGGTATGCAGGGGCCGAATCTGGCGAGGGAGAAGTTGAGCTGCAGAGAGAAAGGCCGTCGATACCGCGACCTAACTTGGATGACGAGGAGGAATTTGTACGCTTACGTCGCAACAAGAAAGAGAAGAAAAACTCGCGGATGAAACACGCGGAACTTGAGATTGAGCGAGATGAGCTCTATCGCCGTGGATCTGACGCCAGGCTGGAGCATACCATGCTCCACAGTGATGTTAGAGAACGTACACCAGCAGCACGCTTACGATCCCACCGGCCTCGGCAGCTGGATGGAGACGAAGAGGATGAAGAGGATATCATTATCCGAAGAGATGAGCGGAGGGGTCGAAGGGGTAGGTTCAAGGAAAAGGAAAAGATTACCATGCGAGAAAGAGGAATTTCGACGTCCCCGGAGTCGCCAAGTTCGAGAGAGCTTTCGCAGGTTCGGAAGTCTCATGTTACATCTCGTGAACGCATGAGAGATGGTGAGTTGTGACATTTCGCGCTCATGTCAGATGCTTATTTCCCATCTGTCGCAGGTTATGAATTGCCTCGTGCACCACTTGCACCCAGTCCAGAGCCTTCTTCTCCCAGTAGCTTCGAGGAGTTGGAGATTCGTCACCGGTAAGCCGACAATCGTTCCATTGAAGTTCGAATCACATGCTTACTTGTGTATAGTACACGAGGACGCCCAAGAAAAGAGAAGATCATTATAGAACGACGCAATGATACTTCACCTCCATCCATACTTTCATCTTCAGAATCTGGCAACAAGAGCGAGGACGAAATTGACATCTCTCACGCAAAATTCAAGACCTCAAACCGAAAAGAGGACGTTTTGATTATGGAACGTCAACCTCAACGCCACGAAAGTGATGAAGAGGTCCAGGTCTTCGAGGAGGAACAGTACACCCGGCGCGATGCGGGAGGGCCTCAGCGGCGGAGCACACCCACAGTCACGGTTGAAGATAAAGCGATAGTCCGGGTTGACTCAGGAAGCCATGGCAGTGCAGAGCAGGAGATGCGACGGGAGCGGCGTGTATCCACACAGCGATCCCGATCCATCAAGGGCCACGGAAGACTGTCTGACGAGAACATCGACCGCAAAGATGGTCGAATCGGACGGCGATACATTGGCGTAAAGGACAAGCGAGATCGTCTCTGGACAGAAATCACCAAGGACCTTGTGGTCAGGGAGGCCATTGAGCGGGCTGGCTATGAATACGAGGAAACTGAATCGTTCTATTACATATTCTCGTATCTTGGATATGTGAGTCTAGGCCTTCTTGTCGAAGCCCACTCTTCCCCTTGCAAATTTTGTCGCTGCCTCCGGCCCAGCTGACAGGTCTCCACAATCATAGGACGATATATCAGCCCTTGTCGCACTATCGGAGGACATCCGCCGTGCACGGCGCCAGCGAATTCAGGCGATTAGCAGGGAGCGAGCCTCCATGCGTATTCCATTCGCACCTGAACCGGTCGCACCCGCTCCCGTGTTACTGGGGAGGCCGCCGTCTCCGCGTCTCCGACCTCGGGATGAGCGGAGACTGAAGAAAGAGCGGGAGCTCATTATCGAAGAAGGACGATGGAGACCAGGTCCAGCTCCGTTGGACAGATGGTGACGGAGCAAGTTCGGTCCACCGTTGAGACTGATCGGAGTGTGGCTTGGTCAAACGGTCGGCCGACGTTCTCAACCCTCTTATGATTCTGAGCCTGAAATAGCTACCGACGACAGATACCCAGTTTCTTTTTTTCTCTTCGTGTTTGTCAGCTACCTCTCTAAGTTATCGCTCTATCATCCACCAGGTGCTCTTATGACCATTAGCAGACGAATGTTGGTTTGTCGGGTCAGCGAATGCAGGCCTCTGAAGCAGCAGTAGGAAGCTGAAGACATGCCCAGCTTGTACCAAGAGTACCTGTCAAATGATATTCGAGGAATTGATGGATATACTCAATCAACAACCTTATCCACAGCTGACCATCCCACACCCTTCATGAATTTATTTATATGGCAGATGACGTGGATCTATGGAGTACCGCTAGTGCCATTCGATATGTTCCAAACATGCAGCCAAAGGCACCGAATGACCGATCAGCTGTCTCAGAATTTGTGGATACCGTATTAGCAGGGCAGGATCCATACTCCGTAGGTACCTCAGGTACTTCCTTTCATGTATGGTAAATGATCCTCCTCGACGCATGTAACCAAACATGACATGCGTATTTTGTACTATGCATTAGCAATTTGATAGCTAGACTTACAGGAGTACAGCAATGAGTGTGGCAAAAGAGAAAGAATCCTCCATAGGGACCTCATTCATATATCAGGTACTCCGTAGTTCAAGTACCTCGATTAGCCAGAGGTGGTGATAAGTCACGCAACCGATGTTTGGTGCCTGTTGTCTAAGGCCTGCAGCGAAAAGGGATGAAATCCGTCTACTCCGTACCTTACAATTTATAGATTCATTACGACAGCCAACCACTTCGCTTCTGGACGGAATAGCTTACTCATAGCCCACAACTTCGATGTATAATTCTAGTACTCCATAACAATTCCAAATTTAGGACCAAACGCGACATCAAAATTACCATGACATAAAAGGAGCGAGGGGGAGGACGCCACAGAAGTCAAGGATTGAGTTTCCACAATGGAAATATATCGGCGCAACGGGAATGGCTGCACTGGCACCAAGGCATTAAGGTAGACTAGTGGTCAAGTGTCAAGTTTCACTGTCAACAACAGCTGCTATTTTAGTTCTGGCTCATTCCGTTCGCTTCGGCTCGTTGTTCTGCGTTTGATGGAGTTTAGTTTGACTCCCGTTAGAACGTCTGTATAACCTCCTAGGTTGAAACTGAAAAAGATATAAGAGAATGAAACACTCTATTTCTGCCAGTTTACCTGTCTTCTTCAAGGTAATAGATGAGCTGAGAGCTCTTCTGTGAATATATGTAGCGGGTACTGAAAAAGGTCTAGATAGTGCCTGGACTCTATGGAGTAAGGGATCGGCAATGGCCAATCGGCGAATCGAGGGGCACCACTTTTCATTCCTTCAGCCACAATCAAAAGAAATGAAGGATGGAGGATCGACTGGTTATTTGAAAGCTAGTGGGAGTGGTGAAAATTACCAGTTTCAATGTTTGTGTACTTAATTCGAAAGTAACATTACAGGTCCTGTTGTTGGTAAGGTATACAGAGAAGCTTCTCAACAGTTCTGTATACTAACAAAAGCCACATGATCGTCAACTTCAAGTGGTGTACAAAGAGATATGCCTCGTCAAACCACAAAGCCGGACCAGATGCGTTGAACAAGCTCAGAAGTCTTTCCGCTGGTGATGGTCAAGTTGGCAAATGCCTTCTCCGCAGTATTCCTGAGAGTAGACTTTGACTTAAGTCAGGTAAGTCATTGTCGTTATTGTCGTTATCTACCTACTCAACCAGGGTGACAATCCTAAGTGGTACCTACAGAGTAGACGTTCCTTGCTCCCCTGACTGCCTATCAGTCTCGACAAGCTCAAACTAAGGAAGACTGCGGACGACTAACCGAAGACCAGGGACTCAAAGAGAAATTCAAAAGGCGGGGTTCGCTTCCTTATCAATCGACTAGATACACCATTGGAGACTACCTTAGAGTTGTCATCACTTGCCTTTGTGGCGCTGAAATGGTCAGAAGTAGAAATTGATTGTAAGTGCTGCAGGCTGCAGCGATGCAACTCTCGCTTCGCATAAGTGTGAGATCCTTCGTCTGCAGGATGCCGGAAAGTATGAAACGCATATTTTATACTTTGTACATCTTTAGTCTATTTCGACCTTTTCTACCTTAGGGTGATTCGTGGTAAATGGTGCTGTTTGGTCACAAGCATAGCACTTGAGCTGAGAGTAGGTAGCGATTATACAACGAAGGTGACGCCTGAATGGGAATTGTTTGAGCAAGTTCGCACAACCGTTTCCGAGTGTCTAGGTGGGATGGGATGATGAGAGATGCTCCCTGGGGAAGTAATCGAAAGAAAAGACCGTGGAAAGTGTCTTCCTAGAATTTCCCATACTGAGTTGACGAGTCCCTGAGGAACAGCGACATTGTTCGAATAGTAGGCATATCACGAACACACCCGGAATGACATTGACAGAGTTGCAGGTAGGTTGCTGTTGTATTTCCACGGAAGCATGACACTGTGAACAGCAATTGCATGCTTTTAGAGTTCTAGATCCAAGGATCGCCGGGTCGCTTTTGAGTTGTCCAAACTTTCATGCTACACGAGTGTTTCTGTCATCATGATGATCTCGTGGATGTAGCCCTCATGCGCCAAAAGTATAGCAGATTTACGTTCCTGTACCTCAACCGCTCGGATCAAATTTTGAATGGAAGATATATAGGTATGGACCATGAGTCGATCTGGCCTAGGATAAATATATATCATTTAAAACATCCATGGATTTCCTCAGTGGCTACCCTTGGGTACTAGCACGGGATGAATCGGAGAGGTACCTTGGTAGGGCGACATAGCCAACCATATACCACGTACCTTAAAGATGCTTGATCATAAAAGCCAGATGCAGGACAAAGCATGAGAGCCGAGAGTACTACTGTCATATGTTCTAAGTACAGAATTAAAATTCTAGACCATCCATTTGTTTCCAGAATCCGGCAACCCTGTTGCCAAGATGGCGCTCCACTTTTCTGGACACCTTTTCCTGATGTTGTTGTGCGTGGCTGGGAAGTGATGATTCAGACTTGGGTATCCATTCATTTTTCAAGTTCACATTCAGATAGTGGATCTGCTTCCATTCTCAGGCCTCATCTGCTTGATTGAGATCGGACATCCCTAGTATTTACCTTAGGAAGGGAGCCCAGGTATATCAAACGGTATGTAACGATTTGGAATCAGTACCATCCGCAGACTCTTGGTCCCACAAAATCCAATGAGAGTTTTCGCATCGGGGTCCGTGCTCTTTTCTTGGACGCTGAGTTGCTTGGAAATCAACAGGATGACACGGTAGATCCCATTTTCCAGTACCATCTGTAAGGTAAGTTTTGTAATTAGAATATATGTACGTAAAAAGCAGTGTGAATAGTGAAAATGCTTTTCATAATTTTCAGTCTACATTGCAGAATGCCGAGTAAAATTATTCGTTCAGAGCTCGTACCCGGACGGAGCACCTTACGTATGCCCGGTTTTTCAAACTCGTGGCTTGTGAATGAAATGACGCGGCCGATGGATAAGGTATGTCTGTCAATTGTCCACTGCGCCATACGACTATGCAGTCTATAAGAAAATCGATATTTATGAGTTCTTTCAAAGTACGGAGTAGTCAGATAGTGACATGGCTGCGTCCAAGCATGTCAGGAAGATTATACTTTCAATGTACCTAAGCTTCGAATTTGCCTAGTTAAGATCTAACCGGTTTCAACTTGACATTCATCTGCCCCCCTTCCTCCCCCCCAGATTCTCATTAGTAGGTAGGTAGATAGACCTCATGCAACAGCATGTGTAGCAAGCATTGACCATCATATAAACGGGTACGGCAGCAATGCGAGGCCCATTGCTCCTATGGTTTTTACCCAGAGCAAGGTACCATCTACCTTGGAGACGGGATATACCAACACAGTTTTTGCTGGGATGCATTATCTACAGATCGTCTGATGTTGCTGAAGTTCGAAACAAACGCACTGACTGATCTTTTGATCTGATGTGCTTTTAAAATTACTTAATGGACGAGAAGTATTAATTAGACAAGCACTTAGATTGATAGAAAGTGCTTGATGCTAACAGCGTCCTATCTCAGACTCAAAACAACCTTATTATGACAGGAAACTTAAACGGCAATCTGTATCTCATTGCCAGTACCAGCAGACATTACCGCATCATGAAGGCTAAACATACCCGTTTCGGAGCATCTACAAAAATCTTCATAATAATCAGACACGTCATGTCGTACTTATTTCTTTAGGAGACAAAATCCACAACCCCTTCTCATAAGAAAAAGGCTGTCGCGGACTCCCAGTCTGGCCAGCAGAGCTCCACTGCCATGCGGGTAGGATTTGGTAGGCACTAGGTTTGTCAATTCCTCTCATGGATATCCATGAATGTGGCCTCAATGTCATTCTCCAGTACGGAGTTCGAATTGCAAGGTGATCAGCTTGTCTGCTATGCACTCTTGTTTCTTTCTATCTGAGCTTCAGGATTGGGCCGAAATAGCAAATTACTGTAGCAAGTGACCAAAGTTTCGCAAGTATTTCTGTCTTCCTGGGATTGCTTTAAGTGCTTTTTGTGGAACCCGTATGGATCCACTTATCCTGTCACAATTTAAGTCATTGTTTTTGTTTACAGAGTAGCTATACCTACCTAGGTAATGTACCTAGAGCATTCCCTGTTATTTACAAAGCATGGTAAGGTATATTAACATCTCAATGGTCGAACTTTATACTATCGTACCACTATGTATTGATTATCTATTATTATTATTATTATTCTTATCGTTATTTTTAAGTTTGGAGACTACCTAGTGGACAAGATCCTGGTCTACAAAGTACCTACTAAATACTTGCTTCCTAAGTTCCCAGTTTCCACTGCAGGACGTAAATTAATTCACCCGACCAACTCGCAACCTTATCATTGTTCAGTC